GGTGAGGATGTCTTCTACACTTGCTGCTTTATTTCTTTCCTCAGTTCCTTAGAGTTTTTTTGATGCCGAGAAAAGTTTCTCTCTGCTTATATACAATTTTGCGTGCTCTCAATGCGTTCCTTGAATAAAAATATCAAAACTATTTTGCTCGTCGTTCCATCTTCTTTCATGTTGTTTTAGTTCTGTTTCGAAGATAATTTAGACCTTTTTTTGATTGATCTAATAACCAATTTTTGAAATTTTTTAGTAAAATAGGCTCAGCAATAATATCGTTCTATTTGAAGACACTAGAATAAAAGTCATTTAAGACGCAGTTCATACTTTTTTTTTTATTAATGTAACAATATACAAAAAAATCTGACTTTCTTGACTGAAAAGTTGAAAAACCATTTCCTTAACATGTAAATGTGAATAAATCACACTTGTTACCACCAAGAAGGAAAAGGTTGTCTTTTACCGAATAATTTAGTGGAGTTTCCTGTAAATTAGTGAGAATCGAATTTCTTCCAACCCGTCATATTGTTATCTAATGATAACAAGCTCATGATTTAATGTTTGGACGAAATTGGAGGTGATGATACTTTTAATTCTTACAATACAATTGCACAACAGCACGAAAACGGGCAAATGCATCATGAGTCCTTGATTAAGATTTGATCAGTGTTAAAAGTCAGAATCATTATACAATATAGTATTACTTTTAGTATTATAGTCTCTGATTGATCGATAAAAGACCAACTGCCGGGAAATCATGAGCTGAATTCGAAAATAACCATGCAAGATATTTTAACGAAAATTTCAACCCGGTATTTAGAGAAGTTGATGTCCAGTGTTTAATATGTCATGAGCAAAACTTTTGGAAAGTGCAACATCTTAAAACTGGAGACATCGATAGCTTTGGCAAAGAAAGAACTTCCTAAAAGTGTTGAATGTCAGACAGGATGAAAAGTTGTGACTCGGTTGTGATACGAAACAAATGATCTTTCCTTTTAGCATCCATGACAGGATCCAGTTGAAAGTCGTGTTTCCTTTTTATTATCATTTAAACTGGTTTTTCCAATTACACCAGAAACTGTACGTTAATCTCACATCTATTCTTCCGCTGATATTCATGCGTGTTGTGATATGTTTTAGTAACATAGTAACATGAATAAATAATTTGGTGAAGATTCGAAACGGTATCAAATAGTCTATTTTTGTTTAATAGAGACAGGAGCCCATTAGCAAGTAATGGGCTCCTGATAGAGAGTGAAAATTGGTGACAAAATTTCACAATTATCTCTATTAAAAGTTTGTTCCGAGCGCTGTAGGTGTATAAGGATCTTTAACCTTTAACTCCCAAGATCTGACTGTTAATTCTCCCCTCTTACAGCTACAGATTTTCTTGTAAATAAGTTACAAGAATTTAGTGGTAACAACTTTTACCTCGGATAAGTCTGAGTATTATCATTACCTGTTTACTGGAAAATGTATGGATATTATAGGGAGAAGTGAAAAGTAAATCATTTGCGGGAGTTAAAGGGTGAATCGGTGATCACATCATTATGACGTCATGCCCTCCATTCTTAACGAGAATGATCTGAATAATCATAACGGAGGAGCGAATGTAGCACCATTTGCCGTCTTACATTTCAGTATTTATAGGTCTTCTGTATAAACCTTGCTGATCCTGAATTTCCTTGTAAAAAACTTACAAGAATTTGTTGTTAGATCTAAGTAACAATTTTTACCTGATAAGTTTGAGTATTCTCATTACCTGTTTACCAGTAAATGTATGGATATTGTAGGGAGAATTGAAATTGAAATCATTTAAGGGAGTAAAAGGGTTAAGAGGCTAAAACGGTGATTACATAAATACGACGACGAGAATGAAATAGAATTTGTCTAAATAAAAAACTTTGTCGCCAGTGCGAAAAGGCCCTTATTTAAATCAACAAACTCTTGAGATAAACTTATCACAAGCTCTGTGATTATTACATGACAATGTGATATGAAGCAGGCAGAAAACAAGCTCTCCATTCAGTGCACAAACTTATCATCTTGAGGGTGCTTCTTTGATGCAGCACCAAAATCTCGTAACTAACTAAGTAGGAAAAGTGAAGTAGCTGGCAGTGCCCTATCAATTGACTAGTGTGCAACCACGCATCTATACGATCATGCCCCAGTACTAATTTATTTTAACCAACAAACTTTGTTTTGACCAAGTCTTCCTTATGTCACAATTTTGGCATTGAGGAGAGCTGTTCATTAACCCCTCTACATTTTAAGCAACATTGCCTTTTTACTTCAATAGTTTCCAAAAATACATCAGTTGGCACATGCAGTGTTTAACTGCCTTATTTATTTTATAGGTTATAAGCGGGGTTTCCGATAGTGTCGCATCTTATAGGCCCATTTCCAGCCTTGATATAACGTGGTCATTTGTCATGTTTTTGTCTTACCTGTCATGCAAGACATACTGATATAAACCCCTGAGTATAGGAACCCCTGAATGTAAGACCCTGATTGTAAGACCCCTGATGGAGTAGGTGGTAGGCACTTATTCGGGGAAGGGCGCTTATTAGAGCATGGACGCTTTGTCGAGGAAATACGGTATTCATCATTTGTAACCTTTTTCCAGAGCAGACATCATCTTATTTAAAGTATCTGATGAACTCTCGTCAGTTTGACACAATGAACCTTCAATTCCAAGATTACTCCACGATATTCTAACTCTTTTAATTGAAAAAATTGTACTTAATTGTGAAATTAAATCAGAAATCTTAATTCTAGTTGTATTGTCTTACTGTAGCATTTCTACTATGGTGTCTCAGCGCCCTCTTTTTTATTAATTCTTATTCAAATATTCTTTTGCCTATCACTTATTTTATTACTTATTATCATATGCACCTTTTTGAGCTGTTGTGGAGAGAAAGCATTAAATTGAGGCTCTTGTGTTGGACGTATTTTTTGTACAGACTTGGTGTTAGGTACAGTAAAAGTCTTTACAACTGATTGTATATTTGCATTAAGGGACTGGTTCGCAAATCTTAATATTATTAGCAACAATGTTTAGTACTCATTAAGCAACAGACCACACTTTCTATAAGTTTACTGGCTTAATAACTCACGTGGGGATGTTGGAGGAGGAAGAGAAGTTTATATTTCAAACTTTTCAAATGGGTTTACTGATACAATAAAGGATAGGTTTTTGACCAATCAGGGCACTCGTAGTACAGTCGAACCTGTATGAAGCCCACGGAAAATGGCGGGTGACCGCTTGATACAGGTTCCACAGATTAGGGGTATTACAAAAAACGATAAACAACGCCTCTTTATGCCGTAATTGACCGCTTAATGTACAAAACCTCGCTCGAAGATATTACTTACTTTAATTTTGGGAGAGAAACATGGATTAAAAAATTACTTGAAGAATTATTCCTAGTTTTATTTGAATGGTCCTGCTTTCATTGACCGTTCAATACAGGTGGGAAACAATAAAAACAGGCCATTGTGACTAGATATAGGTTGACTGCGACCACTTGGTAGAGGTTACCGTTTATTAGAGGTGAAAATTGCAGTATTTGAGGGGAAAGAAATTCGAGACTTTGACAACTGACCGCTCAATACAGGGTGACCGCTAAATACAGGTTCTAATGTATCTCAGTTATCTTACAAAGTCGAATAAACATGAATATAAGGGCAACTTACTGCAAAAAGGTTGTCAAAAAAATATGCAGAAAGCAAAACGGAAAAAGCTCAATATGATTTGACCAGCATAAAAATTTCCTTCTTAGGAATTTGACAGTTTTAGAACATTTGCTTTGAAGTGTGAGTTAGGTTGAGGTTCTTCTGTTCTACCTTTTGACTTATTTTTCACACATGTGCAGTATCCAACATGAATACTTAGAATTTAGATTTCTCCGAACAATTCCTCTTTGGCTTTTTCCTATATTCATTTCTGGTTTTTTCCTTTGACAAAACCTTTTCAATTGAGAATATATATTCTTGTCTATAAGTATGTATATATCAAGGATGCTTGTAAATCTATGTAAAGCTACAACTAATTTTGAGCTCAAAAATATTAATAATAATAAAAAAGCGTCAAAAAGTAACGGCTGGAGTTGGCATCATGGGTTACCCTCAATTTGAAGGAATAATGTAATTGTTGTTAATTTTACCATGCTTACTAGTTTTGCCGGCACCAAAATATCAAAATAATCCTCTTGATTTAGTTGGGTGATATTAGGTGGTTTTTGACATGGTCAGCAAATGTTCAAGTGTTGTTATCCTGGCTTTGCTACTTTTTTAAGATTTAAACATCACAATAGTTTTAGTAACCAGCCGACTGCATTTCCGTAAAACATTGGGCTCAAATGGTTGTACAAAAGGAACCCATGCGGGTGAAGTCCTTATTCAGGTCTCTTCTCGTCTTCGCACTCGCCGCATATCGGAAGAAAATGAATTTACAAGCCGAACTAGAAAGCAAGCAATCTATAGTCTGCTTAGCAAGTTCTCCCTTTAGCGTTTGAGGGGAGAAGTGGGAGGGGATAGATAGATGGAAAAGGGCTCTTTTAAGTCCCCCACCTCCCTTTCCCCATTCTTAGTGAGTTTTATAACGTAATACATGGACTGAAAGAGTTTACTGCACCAAAATATATCCCATAGCTTTGATGTATCTGTCATCATTATCTGGGGAATGAGCTGCAACGTTTCCACACGTATTGGAGTTATCAGGATATCCTCCGGTACCAAACCCAATTCTGGAGTCACAAGAGCCACAATCGTTTTGCTGGTTAGCTACATAACCAATTCTTGCTTTAGATTGATAACTTGAAGAACATACAGCATTGAAGCCCTCCTTGCTACAGTTCAGTTGTAAAGAGCCCTGCGCACCAATCAACTTCTTCCAATCGTTACGACCCAATGAAGTAGCGCGCCACATCCCATCAGCGATCAGTGAATGCAGAGAGGTCGCCCGCTTGTTAATGACAATAAACCTGAGCTGCCCACTTATCTTCATACCGAGACAGATCTTGGAGAGAGATGTGTTCCAATAGGTTGGTAACTTGGTCTCTTGTGAGTCAAACCCAGTCCTCCCGCCGGGGGTGTTGTATTCGTTTTTATCACTCCAGTAGTGTGACTCATAGTGAAATGTTGCCTAAAGAGAATTAAGAGGATTTAATTTATTCTTAAATGTAAATAACACGATGCATCACCAAAGGCAGGACCCTCATGAACTCAGTAATACAGTTAGCGTACAAGCTATCAATCTATACCCTACTTGCAGGAGGGTTAATTCGCAATTTGTCGCGTTTTGAGGTATTCAGTTATTCTAGCACTTATGCCAAAAAAATTTCCGCAAGCAGGGGCCGCGAGAAGAATATATGGGCGAGTTATTAAGAGATTCTATTGTAGTTTCGACGCTTCTGAAAATTTATTGCATGCGCTTCATCACTCTCAAGAAAACCCCGCCAAAGATATTCCGCCATAGAAGGCTTACCTGGCTGCCTTTAATCTTCATTACAGGCGTCCATCCTCCATCTCCGCAACCAAAATCCCCCATCTGACAGAGAACTGTGATTGGTTTAGAGTCAAGGTCTAATGTAACCAGTTGACTGACGTTTGACCTGTTTGATACGAAAAGAAAGCCATTCGTTGATTTTAGAGGTCATGGTTCAAATCCCATACGGGCCTGAATTTTTTTTCAGGTCCTATTTTCAACTACTCGTTTCAGTAGCGTTCTTAGCTGTGAGGATCTCTTAAATCCATTCGTGATCATATTAATTTGCGGCGTCGAAACTATTCCATAATTTTGTCCCTTTTTTATGCTCAAAAAGATAGTCATTTGGTATCACTTACTTAAAAAGGTTGTAAGCTTCTTTGCAGGAACCAATGACTAAATGATATAAAAAACAAAAGTAAGGTGTTTAGGATACTTAGTGTATCAATTTATTATCAAAATCTTTGAGCAATAAGAGATGATAAACATTACTTTGGTACAAGTTATAATTTACTTCCGAACATTTTGGTTCTGTCACGATCAAATTAACCTAATACCTCCCCCCCTCTTCTGGGACCTCTGGTTCTTTAGATATTCTTTTTAGCAGATGGGGACCCTTTTTCACCGTCGGAGGCCTGAAAACTGGTTGCCATGGTTACAAAATGTCAATCAGCAGTGCAATCCCTAACACTTCTGGATGATAATTCCAATGGTACCATAATTAATTGGATCCAGTTAATATTGAAAACTTTCAAAATGTGAATGGAAGACCATCTTAATCAACTTGAGCATCGAGAGATTCAAAATTTTTATGCATTGCATTAAATATTTGTTAGTTATATATTTTCGCCAGCTATTTTAGAAAATTTTCGAGCTCCAAGGTTAAGTAGAAAAATTCGTAGTAGTTACTTGAGAATTATATTATTTAATGCTGTTGGATATATATCAGTCACAAAACCATACCAAACTATTCACCTTTTTCACAATATTCTCCTTTGAAGCCTTTTTCACAGCGGCATCTGAATGAGCCATCTCTATAGTTAGTGACACAGGTAGCCTCGTGTTGACAAGGTGATGAAGAGCAAGGTGACTGTAGAGAAGCAAAGTAGGATAATAGTTAATGCACTATTCTATCATTCCGGTTCGGATTCGTTTTAGTAGAAATTTTTCATGGTATAGACAAACCTCACATGATAGTATCTAGGGTTTTTTTTTATTTTCATCTACAGTAGAGAGATTTTGGCTGAGTCTTTTGTCTTTGCTGGTATTTGAGAAAGTGGCTTTATGAGGTTAAAAATATTTTGCTAAGCCGTTGGGATCTATGAGTGTGGAAAGCTTTTCTGACTGTTTCGAACGTTTGCAGAAGATGAAGAAGTCTGTCGATAAAACATTTTAAAACACAAATTAACTAAAGGCTAACCAAATACTGACGATTTAAACGAGTCCATTCTTTAAATAAAGATAATCTTCACTAAAATTTTCAACCGAGTCACATGTATTTTCTTAGTATACTGACGTGCCTGGGAAACTAAGGTGGTAAGTAAGATAGTGCGCGGCACGAGAGAGTGTTTGCATGCTTTACAACATGTCATAGAAATACGGTTGTCACCGCAATGAATACGACAACAGACCGACACCATTTGCGGTGACTTTAACCTGACAGCCTTCTCTCTACGATCTCGACAAAGCTATTAAACTTTAAACACATTTATTTGTCAAAATTAAAAAATGCTTCCTACCTCAATGGCACAATGATGCGAACTTTTATTCCCTTTATACTCTGTGGAGTTTCTGAACTTATCAGATGACAACAATTCGCACCAAAGTTTTCCATGGGCTCCTTTGAAGGCGGCCAGGTTTACAGAAAAACACAAAGGATTGCTAAGACATTCTAACGTGCAGTCAAACACATCAGACACTGCCACTGTTCCAACAAGCGGCACATTCAAGTGATGAAACTCGTGTTTAATGAATGTACGTCTCAGGAAGGTTCTTGTGGAGGAGGCGCTGTTGCCCTCGCGATACACAGGGTTTGACTCTGTAACAGGAAAGAAGAACAGTCCAGTAACAAAAGGACATGATGGCAGCACTCACAGGAAGGAGTGGCGGGGAAGGAACTGACTGATTACAAGAGATGATGAAGAAGCCCTATAACAGTGCCCCCCATACCATTCAAAATAATTGTTAAATGTTTTTCATATCTACGTTATTCTTATGAACCATCATTTGGCCAAATCCGCTGTTTAGGGAGATGAAAAACCATTTTGCCATGGTCAGTAGTAAATCAGCTTCTCTAAATTGCAACGTTTGAGACACCGTAAAAATATTGAAAAAAAAAAACCTTTCAAGAATGGTTTTAAGGCCGATCAGTATCAGCCACCCTTCTTCTCATTCACCCCCCCCCTTCCCTCCCAGCTCCTTTCTACAATTCCGGGGTGACCCCTGCCTCTCTGCGACGAAAGCAAAATTTGTACTCGTGCCGTATGAGGATGTTGTAGAGTAAAGCGAAGAGGTAACTGAGAATGGTGTAAAGCGGTGAGGTATTTCTAAATCCAGGGATCTTTTGAAGTATCAAGAGCTAATTTTAGACTGATCCTTGCGTTTTCTCTCGCTTAGTTTTCGGGACAATGTTCAGCTATATTTAAAATAAAATTTGATCCTTATTTTCCTTTCGAAATGAACGTTAGAAGTAGATCATACGAAACCAAGGTAAACAGTCGTTAATAAAGAATTGTAACTTCTCCATGAATTTTCTGATCTTATTGGAGGCAAATTTTGTCAGCTCCCTTGTTTATTTAGGAGCTATCCATTCCAAATACCCGAAAGGTTGAAGAAATCTTGCGACACTGTTATTATCGCACCTGTCTTAATTTTAGAATTCATAACTTTTGCCAACTGGAAGCAAAACAGATGTTATTTTGTCAATAGCTTGTAGCTGTCCTAACATATTAGGCCCCTTGACTTCCGCCAAATTTAATTAACAAGTTTCCTCCACTATTGTCGCCAAACTTTGTTTGGTGATCAATCCGGGAGGTCCTCGGTCAAGTTGGGTAAAATCAGGCGACCTTTCGCAAGATAAAGAAGAATAACATGTAAAAAATTTAGTTTGGTGAAAAGCGAAAATCGCTTCGTTGAACACTTAAAATGATCATATCGTAGACAGATTTTTCGCAGCCATTTCAACAAGTCACTTCGATTTCAATTCATTCGAGAGTTTTTCAGGAACCTCTTAGATATAAATTTTTATTGTCTTACCTTTCAGTTATCAATATCTGACGAGCCAATTACCATAAATATACGCGTATTCTGAGTGACTTAAATACCATTGTTCACTGAGGTAACATAAACAAAATTTTGCAAATAAAACTCTTCGGTGCTGTAATGTTTTCATTCGTTTCTGTTTCTCATGATTAATTACCTAACTATAACATATTTCTCTCAAACTTTCCTTCGGAAAAGGGAAGAACATCAATCAATGATCTGATAGGCATAGGAATCGAATGTTTCTGCGAACCTAATTTTAGAAGTCTTTGATAAATTTTTTTGGGTAAAAGCATGGCAAGGTCGAAAGCCTGTAGTTTACCTCCGCAATTTTATCCAGGTTTTAAAGATGTGCAGCTGTTGTTTTGGCAACATTTAGAATTTAACTTGAAGTTGAAAAGGAAAGGCTTGAAAGGCTTTTTCAATCAATGTTTTAGCCTAACCTTGAAAAACATTTTTCAATGTGGAGTGATGGAGTGTTCTTTGCCTTTAACCAAGTTGAGGTGCTGAACAGATTGACTTCAACTATACAACTTCACAACATAAAGGGAGTTACTTAAACATTGAGATTGTGCCATTCAACAGCGTCCCAAGTTATCAGTTATAAAGCAAATTGTCGAAACAAGTTTCTAAAGATCATTCAACGCGCATCACCACTCAAGTGAAAATGTAACAAAAAACAAAGACTGTTGGAATTCAGGGAACATCGGACTTATATCCAGATCTGAGTTGAATTACTATTACTAAACACTACCAACATCAATGTTCTGACACTAAACGATAAGAGATACGCATTAATAAACGCATTTAACAAACCTTGTGAAAAGGCTGGATCTGGAATTAGAACAGAGAGTTCAAATATAAGGGGATATAGAAGACCAAAAAACATGTTGAGAGGAGGTGTCGTCGCTGATGTGAGATATTTAGCCTTGCCTCTGATGCGACTGACTCGTGAGCAACTGAAACACTGAAATGTTGACTACAACCAAACGAATTTAAGCGTATCCAGCTGCTCCCAATTTGCTGACGTACAAAATAGCACTTTCCTTTGTTTTTGCAACAATGGATATCTCAGTGCTATGGTTGAGTTTTATGAGGGCGGAAGGGAATACGAGTCAAAAATCAGGTTTAAAGTTGTCTTACTTATAAAATCCTATGACCTAATTTCCGCTTTACTTTACCCATAACTCCAATGAGGCATCATTTTCTAAATAGTTTCTGATTAACTGATTGCGCAATGAGCCTTTAATTACATCCAAGCTTGCTAGTAACACCCAGTAGTTTGGGTTTATAACTAAGGGCAACCTGATTCATCCAGAAAAAATTCTCTGTTTTACAATCACAAGAAATTTTCAATATTCCGTTTGTAAAGGTAGGCCTCACGAGAAATGCTCAGCCTAAGCTGATTGCCTGGAAACTATATCGTAGATATCACCGAAATCACAAGGCCTAAAAAATTTTCATGTTACTCGTATTGCAATCTTGGAAAACATTGTATCAAACGTACGCCGTTCTAAATCATTCACCTCTGCGCACTGTCTGTCTGTCTTCCTGGAAAACTTATAATACTGCGAGTTAGATCCTTTTGGTGGCCATTAGCAGTGCGGGAAAAGAGTTATAACTGATAAAGGAAGTGTAACTTGATAAGTTTTCATGTTGACAAGTTTGCCACTGCAGTGGAAAAAAAAATTCCAATATATCAATGCCAGTTTTGGAGTAAGGGAAGTTGTTATTTAAGGAAAAACTTGCCAAAGAAAAATCTATTGGCAGCACAGATGACTTGCAAGAAGGAAAATAAGAAGGTTTTGTGAAATTCTGCATTATGGCAAACGAAACAGAAATGCCGTATTTGGATTATGAACAAGAACAAGGTGTTAAAAACCTGTACATATCATTAAAATTCACTCAAAAACCCTTTCAAAGAGAGACTTTTGATATAAATTTTTAATAAGTTGTGAAGATGGGTTCCTATTTACGTGTTAACTCAATTATTTACAAAGAGAACTTCAAAATAAACTTACCGTTTCCGTGATTACCGGTATACAATGAGGTTACTACCTTAAATTTTTTAACCATCTGTAGCTTTTCCACGACCCAAAAAATAGGATATCTAATGAGCGCGGCTGCGTTTCGTGATTCATGAGCACGAATGATTTCTTTTGACTAAAATTTCTAGAAGAACTTGGTGAGTAGAGTTGACTCAAAAAAATTTCCACGATAAACAAATTGAGTCCTATTACAAGCTTTTCGACATACAAAACTACTTATAATATGCCATCCGGGCTGAAATATTCCCAAAATTACCGAGAAAGCTTCTTTCTAAACTAACAGAATCGGTTTTAGATTCATTCGTGGCTTGTAAATAAAAGGATCGCATCTAGAATTTGGGTTTAAAATCATCTATGGCGTTTCTGTAAGACTTGCAAGAGTAGTCTATTCGTTTATCATTGTCCGAGTTGAATTTCCTTCAGCTCAGGATCAAGAGAATGTAAGGGTTCCCTTATTTTCTGTTGTCAAAATTTAATGCGGCGCTCTTAGCCAACCCTTGTGGAGTTTTACAGCGAGTTTTCGTCCGGTAGTGCGGGTTTATTAGGGTACGGCAAATAGCTGGTCTTATGCTGGAAAATGTAAAGTCCTTAATGTGCAGTGAATTACAATGCCTTGCATATGTTGCTGTGTAGATTGAATTTTAGAATTCAGTTGAAAAATTTCTAATAAATTGCCACGATTGATTAACACATTTACATATCTTTATAGTATCGTTCAACTATTAATAAGTAATAAGTCATCCTCTCGTTGCAAATCATCGCTAAGCAAACACATCCATCTTGGTTGTTTACGCTGTTTCGTTTAGTTGACTTTTCTAAGTAGGATCTACAAAAAGAAGAAACTTCTTCAGTATTCTTCTTGCTTCTTTGTCAGAAAAGCACTCATTAGCCTCTCAAGCAATTGCCTAGGTGCCAACAGCGATGGCGTAAGTGTAAATAAGAACTAGAAACTGAAGGTAGCAAAGTATAGTCAAAGTATGGACAGGGTGGGTATCATTGTGGAAAATTTAAACTTAATGAATTAGGATCATACTTTTTTAAAAGGCTTCGAGCGGTGATTAAACAATACTTCAATCCACCAGAAATATAAATCCTTGGCAGAAATCGTTTCAGACGTTGCACCAGCGCCGTGAATCGTGTATTAACTTTACATAATGTTTGCTTTGTGTGGCATACATTACCAGCAAACAAGAAGGCTGATGACGCTTACAATATTTCTTACGTTTTTTCTAGAACTTCATTGGGAATAATTCTAATGTGACATTCGTCATCCCCTCTCGTTGCAAATAAGTCGATTTCTACATCTGAAACTACTGAACTTCCATTAGCTTATTACCATAATTGGTAATGCCATTGTCGACTTCATTTTGTAATTCAAAATCCGTCTCATTTTCTCGACTTCCATGAGTAAGTCCCTTAGCCATATCCGTAACAATGTCCGTGTCGTCACCATTGCCGACGATACTGTCAGGTCCACTTTTTGCGTCAGTGTCACCCATTTCAAAATCAACGACGTCCTGCTCTATATGCATTTTATTTGCATAATACTCGGAAATTTCTCCTTCTCCTGGGTCATTTGCTTCGTATTCTTTTTCAATGCCGTAGTTATGATCTGTAACTTGTTCCAAGCTCACATAGTGCTCTCCTTGGTTCTCAGAAAAATGGCCAAGGTACACGGTAGCTGCTGAAACACTTGCTGAGGAACCGAACACATGCTGCCCACCAACTCCTGGAGAGAAAATTATTTGGATGTCGACGTTATACAAGTTTGCTGCTGCATGCAGCGTAATCTGATTTCCATAGGTCCCAGCAAGCGAACTCATCATCTGCCAAATGCCAAAAGGAGGGAAGCCATCGCTATCGTGCGGAATACTTCTTAAGTACTTTACTATTTCTTTCCTCATGGTTTCAGGAGATCTTAAAATGCCCGTCTCTTTGCATGATGCGATAGTGCAGCAAATTGGCAATTGCTATCTCCAGGAGGATTGTAAACCATTCATACCATCGCAAAGTAATTTCAAGGCTTTATTGAATTCCCCTCCTTGGTCCCACCAGATTATTTCTGGCGATCCATGCTCCATGCAGTTCACTTGCAATTACCTGGCTTGATTTGCTACACACACCACATGACTTTGATGGCAATTACACGGGTCTCCTTGTCTTTATCGAAGAAACAAGCCAGAGAGTATGACGAGCATGACAGTATAAGCGCAAGTGGTGATTCAAAGAGTCTAAAAACTGATGAAGAATCACGCATAGGTCTCCCTCTTGCTTTAGGTTTACTTTTCTTAGTCTTTATCGAAAAAACAAGCTAGACAGTACGATGAGCATGACAGTATAAGATATTACAGGCAGACAACAGAGTCGAAGTTTAGCGCTAGTGGTGATTCAAAGATGTCTACAGTAAACTGATGAAGAATCATGCATAGGTCTCTGTCTTGCTTTCGCTTTCCCTTTTCACTTTCACGTTTATACCTGTCGTTCAAACAGTTTTTGGCATATGGTTTGCAAGTCTAAATCTTGCTAAAAATACGGAATGATACCGATTATTTGATAAATAAATCTTGGTAAGGAATGAAGTTCTTTGTATCATAGCTTTGCCGATATATTACTGGTTGCTAATTGCCTTATCGATATTGTGATTACCAGTCGATTATTTGTGCGTGCTCTTGTAGTGTGTAGAAATCACGTGGTCAGTTGTCAGTCCATTCATTTGAGTGTTGGGAGCCGTATTAAGAGGAGTTAAATCACAATAAGACGGTCTCGATATTAAATATTTTTGAAAGTTAGGTCTCCTTCAAAGGTTAGATGGAGACAGGTTCTGTCGCTGTGGATGTGCGTCAGACCTACATGTGATTGATAAAGAATGCAACTTCCTACCTCTTAACAGATCACTAGTGCCCAGTCGTTTTTCGACCACATTAGTGAGACTTTACCGATCGTTGATTGGGAACTATTCTGCTTATTTCCCTATGTTTTTATGCCCTTAAAATTATCAAACAGACTTCTTTCATTTCTATCGAAGTGAAGAGAGATTATTAACAGAAATTTGAAAAAAAACTATATGATTACTTTATTGACACAACAAATTTACAGACAAGTATTTCACAAATACGAAGTCAGAGTTCCTTGAACAATTTGAAGGTTTCGTTGAAACAATTGAAAGTTACTCAGTAAGTTCATAAATATATAAATATATAGGAGTGTATGACACTTTTATGATATGCTGATACATCTCAGCAGTTGATTATAATATATTCTTGTTAATATAAAAATCGTTCGGTCTTCCTGAAAAATTTTGGAGTTGAAAAGCCCCAACTTTAACTATTTTATGGTGCACATGAACAGGCAGTGTTATATCTTTTTCCTTCCTCTGTGATGAAGTTGGACGGAACACATTTGCTCTGGTTGCTGTTGTTTGCCATGGAACTAAAACATGCGGTTCCGGAAGATGTAATCTTCTTACAAAAGGGAGAAGTTACTGTTTTGCTGCTTGGCAAAGTAAAGGAAACAACTCTGCCTGTGTAACAACTGGGCTCGTCACCAGGGGACCTCTTTGATCTCCATGGTACAGCACCCTAGGTGGACGGGACTCCGCTATCTTGAATTCTGCGCATGATTTTGTCGAAACCAGCTGTCCAGCCATTTCCACGGTGAAAAAAAATAGCGAGGATAACGACAAGAACCTAGAGTATATAAATATTTTGTCAACTTTGTATCAACACACTGCGTTACGATTAGTGATTCATGGCTAAAGTGCTCGAAAATAGAGATATTGGAAAAACGTTTTGCTTCTCGAAAGTATTTCTAAATTACTGAAAGAGACAGGATCACAAACGTAACTAAAGCGATTGAAAAAATTTCATTGAGAAATGAAGTCAAAAGAAAGAAGAAGAAAGAAATAATTTTTACTATTACGTTATACAGGAACAAAGGATATTAGTGTTTTACCTTGAAAACCTCCATTGCTCCATTCCTTTGTATTTCTTGTAGTCTACGGTGAGGATTTTTTCTCCACTTGCTGCTTTGTTTCCTCTAATCCTTGAAGTTTTTTTGATGCCGAGAAAAGTTTCTCTCTGCTTATATACAATTTTGCGTGCTCCTGATGTGTTCCTTGCATAAAAATGTCAAAACTGTTTTGCTCGATGTTCCATCCCCTTTCATGTTGTTTTAGTTCTGTTTCGAAGATGATTTAGAACTTTTTGATTGATCTAATATAACTAATTTTTGAAACGTCCTTTTAGTAAATAGGCTCAGCAATAATTCGTTCTATTTAAAGACACTGGAATAAAAGTAATTTAAGACACCGTTTTTTTTATTTATGTAACAATAAACAAAAAAAAATATGACACTCTCGACTGAAAAGTTGAAAAACCATTTCCTTAACATGTAATGTGAATAAATCACTCTTGTTACCATCAAGGAGGAAAAAGTTGTCTTTTACCCAAAATAATTTAGTGGAGTCTCACGAGAATTAGTGAGAATCGAATTTCTTCCATCCCGTCATATTGTTATCAGATGATAACAAGTGCATGATGTAATGTTTGGACGAAATTGGGAGTAATGATACTTTTAAATCTTACCAGGAAATAATTGCACAGCGGCACGAAAACAGACAAATGCATCGTGAGTCCTTGATTAGGATTCGATTAGTATTAATAGTCAGAATCATTTATACAATAGTAATACTTTTGTGATTCTAGTAAAACAGTCTCTGATTGATCGATAAAAGATCAACTGCTGGGAAATCATGAGCTGAATTCTAAAAAAACAATGTAAGATACTATGACGGAAATTTCAACCCGGTATTTAGAGAAGTTGATGTCCGGTGTTTAATACGTCATGAGTAAAACTTTTGGAAAGTGCAACATCTTAAAACTGGAGACATCGATAGCTTTGGCAAAGAAAGAACTTCCTAAAAGTGTTGAATGTCAGACAAGATGAAAAGTTGTGACTCCATTGTGATACGAGACAAATGATCTTTCCTTTTAGCATCCATGACAGGATCCAGTTGGAAGTCGTGTTTCCTTTTTATCATCATTCAAACTGGTTTTTCAAATTACACCAGAAACTATACGTTTATCTTACATTTATTCTTCCTCTGATATTGATGCGTGTTGTGATAACATGAATAAATAATTAGGTGAAGATTCGAAGCGGTATCAAATAGTCTATTTTTGTTTAATAGAGACAGGAGCCCATTAGCAAGTAATGGGCTCCTGATAGAGTGAAAATTGGTGACAAAATTTCAAAAGTATCTCGATTAAAAGTTTGTTCCGAGCGCTGTAGGTGCATAAGGATCTTTAACCGTTTAACTCACAAGATCTGACGGTTAATTCTCCCCTTTTACAGCTACAGATTTTCTTATAAATAAGTTACAAAAATTTGGTGTTAGATCTCGCTAACAAATTTTACCTCCGATAACTTTTGAGTATTCTCATTACCTGTTTACGGGAAAATGTATGGATATTACAGAGAGAAGAGAAAAGTAAATCATTTGCGGGAGTTGAAGGGTGAATCGGTGATCACACAATTATGACGTCATGCCCTCCATTCTAAACGAGAATGATCTGAAAAATCTTAACTGAGGAGCGAATGTAGCACCATTTGCCGTCTTACATTTCAGTATTTATAGGTCTTCTGTGTAAACCTTAATGATCCTTAATTTGAATATTATTCTACTGAAAAACACAATATCAATGACCTGTGCCCTTGAATGACAAGAATTCCCCCCTTTTTTTTAAAAAGCAGGAAAAGAAAAGGCAAGTGCTGCGGTTCGGTTACTAAAAGAAATGATGGAGACGTCTAGAGCAAAACAAGAGAAACATTCTTTTAAAGAACAATGTAAATAAAGAAAACAAAAAGAGCAAAACAAATTGATACCACTAGATATCGAACTACAGGATTCTTGATTGAGAGAAGAGGTTTTTCCTATTGCGCCAAGTATGCGGAGATCATTCCTTTATTGTTTGTTGAAATATATGTTAAATTTTCAATTCCCATACTTTCAAAGTGTATTAAATACCCGTTCTATTTGCGTTTATTACTTGCCCTGTCCCCGGCCCTCACAAGCTCTCCATTCAGTGCACAAACTTATCATCTTCAGGGTGCTTCTTTGATGCAGCACCAAAATCTCGTAACTAACTAAGTAGGAAAAGTGAAGCAGCTGGTAGTGCCCTATCAATTGACCAGTGTGCAACCACGTATCTATACGATCATGCCGCAGTCCTAATTTATTTTAACTAACAAACTTTGTTTTGACCAAGTCTTCCTTATGTCACAATTTTGGCATTGAGGAGAACTGTTCACTAACCCCTCTACATTTTAAGAAAAATTGCCTTTTTACTTCAATAGTTTCCAAAAAACCATCAGTTGGCACATACAGTGTTTAACTGCCTTATTTATTTTATAGGTTATAGGCGAGGTATATAGGTCCATTTCCAGCCTTGATGTAACGCGGTCATTTGTCATGTTTTTGTCTTACTTGTCATGTAAGACACACTGATATAAACCCCCGAGTATAAGAACCCCCTAAATGTAGGAACCTGATTGTAAGACCCCTGGGCCCAGTTTTTCAAAAGCTGATTAGCGCTAACCAAGGGTTAAATTTTAATCTGGGTTTCTATACTTCTTTGTTCGATAGCCTTTCTGGGATCATTTTCTCTTCTCTATATGGAGCATCCAATCATCAAATTGTTGACAAAAAGAATCATACTGAATTTTCCTTTAAAACTTCCAGAAATGAAATCAAATTTCACACTAACCCTGGTTTATCTAAACCCAGCTTTGAACAACCCAGCCCTGATGAAGTAGGGGGTAGGGACTTATTCTGGGAAGGGCACTTACTAAAGCATGGACGATTAGTCGAGGAAATACGATATGCATCATTTGTAACCTTTTTCCAGAGCACACATCATCTCATTTAAAGTATCTGATGAACTCTCGTCAGTTTGACACAATGAACATTCAATTCCAAGGTTACTCACTTTATTCTAACTCTTTTAATTGCAAAAATTGTACTTAATTGTGAAATTGAATCAGAAATCTTAATTCTAGTTTTATTGTCTTACTGTAGCATTTCTAATATGGTGTCTCAGCGCCCTTTTTTTTCTTATTCAAATATTCTTTTGCCTATTACTTATTTTATTACTTATTATCATATGCACTTTATTGAGCTGTTGTGAAGAAAATGAATTAAATTGAGGCTCTTGTGTTGGACGTATTTTTTGTACAGACTTGGTGTTAGGTATACTAAAAGTCTTTACAACTGATTGTATACTTGCATTAAGGGACTGGTTCGTAAATCTTAATAATAAATAATAATTAATAATAATTATTATTAGCAACAATGATTAGTAATCATTAAGCAACATACCACACTTTCTATCAGTTTACCGGCTTAATAACTCACGAGGGGATGTTGGATGAGTAGGAGAAGTTTGTAAATCAAACTTTTCAAATGGGTTTACTGATAGAATAAACGATAAGTTTTTGACCAATCAGGGCGCTCTTACTACATACGAACCTGCATGAAGCCCACGAAAAATGGTGGGCGACCGCTTGATACAGGTTCCACAGATTAGGAATATTACAAAAAACGATAACTAACCCCTCTTTATGCCGTAATTGACCACTTAATGTACAAAACCTCGCTCGAACATATTACTTACTTTAATTTTGGGAGAGAACATGGATTAAAAAATTACTTGAAGGATTATTCCTAGTTTTATTTGAATGGTCCCGCTTTTCATTGACCGTTCAATACAGGTGGGGACTAGTAAAAACAGGCCATTTATACTAGATATAGGTTGGTACACCTCCACTTAGAAGAAGTGGCCGCTTAATAGAGGTGACCATTAAATAGAGGTGAAAATTGCAGTGTTTGAGGGGGAGAGAAATTCGAGACTTTGACAACTGACCACTCAATACAGGGTGACCACTAAATACAGGTTCTACTCTATCTCAGTTATCTTATAAAGTTGAATAAACATGAATAGAAGGACAACTTACTGCAAAAAGGTTGTCAAGGAAATATGCAGAAAGCAAAACGGAAAAAGCTCAATATGATTTGATCAGCGTAAAAATTTCCTTTTAAGGAATTTGACAGTTTTAGAACATTTGCTTTGAGGTGTGAGTTAGGTTGAGGTACTTCTTCTCTTCCATCGTCTGACTTATTTTTCACACATGTGCATTATCTAACATGAATACTTAGTATTTAGATTTCTCCAAACAGTTCCTCTTTGGCTTTCTTCTATATTCATTTCTGCTTTTTTTCTTTGACAAAACCTTTTCAATTGAGAGTATATATTCTTGTCTATAAGTACGTATATATCAAGGATGCTTGTAAATCTATGTAAAGCTACAACTAATTCTGAGCTCAAAAATATTAATAATAAAAAAAGCGTCGGAAAGTAACGGCTGGAGTTGGCATCAAGGGTTGTCCTCAACTTGAAGGAATAATGTCATATTTGTTAACTTTACCTTGCTTATCAGTTTTGCCGACACCAAAATATCAAAATTATCCTCTAGATTTTGTTGGCTGACATGAGGTGGTTTTTGACATGGTCAGCAAATGCCTATTGGTGATAATTTTTAGCGAGTGCCTGAAAATGTTCTGGAGCTGTTATCCTGGCTTTGCTTCTTTTTTAAGATTTAAACATCACAATGGTTTTAGCAACCGGTCGACTGAATTTCCTTAAAACATTGGGCTCAAATGGTTGTACAAAAGGAACCCATGCGGGTGAAGTCCTTATTCAGGTGTCTTCTCGTCTTCGCACTCGCCGCATATCGGAAGAAAATGAATTTACCAGCCGAACTAAACGGCAAGCAATCTATAGTCTGCTTTGCAAGTTCTCACTTTGGCGTTTGAGGGAAGAAGTGGGAGGGGATGGATAGATGGAAAAGGGCTCTTTTAAGTGCCCCACCTTCCGTTCCCCATTCTTAGTGAGTTTTCTAATATAATACATGGATTGAAAGAGTTTACTGCACCAAAATATATCCCATAGCTTTGATGTGTCTGTTACCATTATCTGGGGAATGAGCTGCTACGTTTCCACACGTAGTGGAGTTATTAGGACGTCCTCCGGTACCAAACCCAATTCTGGAGTCACAAGAACTACACTGGTTATTGTCGTTAGCTACATAACCAATTCTTGCTTTAGAATTATGACTTGAAGAACATACAGCATTGAAGCCCTCCTTGTTACAGTTCAGTTGTAAAGAGCCCTGCGCACCAATCAACTTCTTCCACTCGTTACGACCCAGTGAAGAAGCGCGCCATATCCCATCAGCGATCAGTGAGTGTAGAGAGTTCGCCTGCTTGTTAATGACAATAAACCTGAGCTGTCCACTTATCTTCATACCGAGACAGATCTTGGAGAGAGATGTGTTCCAATAGGTTGGTAACTTGGTCTCTTGTGAGTCAAACCCAGTCCTCCCGCCGGGGGTGTTGTATTCGTTTTTATCACTCCAGTAGTGAGAGTCATAGTGAAAAGTTTCCTAAAGAGAATTAAGAAGATTTAATTTATCCTTAAATGTAAATAACCCGATGCATCACCGAAGGCAGGACCCTCATGAACTCAGCAATACAGTTGGCGTACAAGCCATCAATCTAAACCCTATTTGCAGGCGGGTTAATTGGCAGTTTGTTGCGTTTTTAGGTATTAGGTTATTGTAGCACTTATGCCAAAAGAATTTCCGCAAGCAGGAGCCGCGAGAAGACCATGAGCAAGTTCCTAGATTCTATCGTAGTTTCGACACTTCTGAAAATTTATTGCATGCGCTTCATCACCCGCAAGAAAACCCCGCCAAGAATATTCCGCCATAGAAGGGTTACCTGGTGGCCGTCAATCTTCATTACAGGCGTCCATCCTCCATCTCCGCATCCAAAATCCCCCATCTGACAGAGAACTGTGATTGGTTTAGAGTCAAGGTATAATGTGACCAATTGACTGGCGTTTGACCTGTTTGATACGAAAAGAAATCCATTCGTGATCATATTAGTTTGCGGCGAAAAATCTCCTCTAGGCGTCGAAACTTATCCATAATTTGGTCTCTTTTTTATGCTCGAAAAGATAATCATTTGGTATCACTTACTTAAAAAGGTTGTAAGCTTCTTTGCAGGAACCAATGACTAAATGTAACGAAAAAAACAAAAGTAAGGTGTTTAGGATATTTAGTGTAGATATTTGCATTTAGTGCAAAATCTTTGAGCAATAAGAGATGATAAACATTACTGTGGTGCGAGTTATAATTTACCTCCGAGGAGGGGGGGGGGTCACGATCAAATTAGCCTGATACTACCCCCTCCTCCTCCCTCCGTCAAGGCTCTGCAAAATTCTTATGATCCCCACTCATTGGCAGTTTTAAAATTGGCAGTCAATTTCTATTGTCCCCTCCTTTAAACTCTGTCGGCGACTACTGTTTCCCCATCCTTTCCCCCCTAAAAATCACATGATCTTCTCAAATCCTCCTCCCTCCTTCCCCCGTAGTTAATAATAATTGGTTCCGGAGGTAAAGTAAGTAAAAATAAAAAATATATATTCAGTTCCTCATTGCATTAAATATTTGTTAGTTATATATTTTCGCCAGCTATTTTAGAAAATTTTCGAGCTCCAAGGTTAAGTAGAAAAATTCATAGCAGTCACTTGAGAACTACAGTATTTCATGTTGGGTGTATATCAGTCACAAAAGCATGCCAAACTATTAACCTTTTTCACAATATTCTCCTTTGTAGCCTTTTGCACAGCGGCATCCGAATGAGCCATCTCTATAGTTAGTGACACAGGTAGCCCCGTGTTGACAAGGTGACGAAGAGCAAGGTGACTGTAGAGAAACAAAGTAGGAAATTGGTTCACGCGCTATTCCGTCAATCCGGTTCGGATTCGTTTTAGTAGAAATTTTTCATGATATGGACATACCTCATATGATAGCATCTAGGGTTTTTTTTATTTTCATCTACAGTAGAGAGATTTTGGCTGAGTTTTCTGCCTTTGCTGGTATGTGAGAAAGTGGCTTTATGAGGTTAAAAATATATTGCAAGCCGTTGTGATCTCTGAGTCTGGAAGGCTTTTCTAATTGTTTTGAAAGTTGGCGGAAAATGAAGAAGTCTGTGGATAAAACATTTAAAACACAAACTGACTAAAGACTGACCAAATACTGACGATTTAAACGAGTCCATTCTTTAAATAAAGATAATCTGGTATCTTGACTAAAATTTTCGACCGAGTCACATGTATTTCCTTAGTATACTGACTTGCCTGGGAAACAAATGTGGTAAGTAAGATAGTGTGCGGCATGAGAAAGTGTTTGCATGCTTTACAACATGCCATAGAAATACGGTTGTCACCACAATGAAATTGACAACAGACCGACACCATTTGCAGTAACTTTAACCTGACTGCCTTCTCTCTACGATCTTGGCAAAGCTGTCAAACTTTTAACACGTTTATTAGTCAAAATTAAGAAATGCTTCCTACCTCAATGGCAAAATGATGCGAACTTTTATTCCCTTTATACTCTGTGGAGTTTCTGAACTTATCAGATGACAACAATTCGCACCAAAGTTTTCCATGGGTTCCTTTGAAGGCGGCCAGGTTTACGGAAAAACACAAAGGATTGCTAAGACATTCTAACGTGCAGTCAAACACATCAGACACTGCCACTGTTCCAATAATAATAATAATAATAATAATAATAATAATAATAATAATAATGAACGTTCTTAATACGCATTTAAGAATCTCAATGCGCTTACAATAAATAATAAAAATAATAGCAATAACAAATTATCAATAACAACAATAAAAATTAAAACACTTATAAGCGGCACATTCAAGTGATGAAACTTGTGTTTAATGAACGTACGTGTCAGGAAGGTTATTGTGGAGGAGGCGCGGTTGCCCTCGCGATACACAGGGTTTGAGTCTGTAACAGGAAAGAACAGTCCAGGACATGATGGCAGCACTCACAGGAAGGAGTGGCGGGGAAGGGACGGACTGATTACAAGAGATGATAAAGCGGCCTATAACAGTACACCCCCCCCCATACTATTAAAAATGATTGATGTTTTTTATATCTACGTTACTCTTATGAACCTTCATTTGACGAAATCCACTGCTTAGGGAGATGATAAACCATTTTGCTATTGTCAGTAGTAAATCAGCTTCTCTAAATTGCAACGTTTGTCAGTAGTAAAAAAAAAAAAAATCAGGCCGTTCAGTATCAGCCTCCTTCTTTCATTCCCCCCTTTCTTTTCTAAATTGCAACGTTTGAGACACCGTAAAAATTTTTTGTTTGGTGCTCAACACAGGAGGCCCTCGGTCAAGTTGGGTAAAATCAGGCGACCTTTCGCAAGATAAAGAAGAATAACAGGTGAAAAATTTAGTTTGGTGAAAAACAAAAATCGCTTCGTTGAACACTTAAAATGATCATATCGTAGACAGATTTTTGGCAGCCATTTAAACAAGTCACTTCGATTTTAATTCATTCGATAGTTTTTCAGGAACCTGTTAAACATAAATTTGTATTGTCTTACCTTTTCAGTTATCAATATCTGACGCGTCATTCGCCATAAATAGACGCGTATTCTGAGTGACTTAAATACCATTGTTCACTGGGGTAACATAAACAGAATTTTGCTAATAAAGCTCTTCGGTGCTGTAATGTTTTCATTCGTTTCTGTTTCTCATGATTAATTACCTAACTATAACATATTTCTTTCAAACTTTCCTTCGGAAAAGGGAAGCATATCAATCAATGATCTGATAGGCATAGGAATCGAATGTTTCTGCAAACCCAATTTTAGAAGTCTTTGATAAATTTTTTTGAGCCTGTAGTTTGTCTCCGCAATTTTATCCAGGTTTTAAAGATGTGCAGCTGTTGTTTTGGCAACATTTAGAATTTAACTTGAAGTTGAATAAAGGCTTTTTCAATCAATGTTTTAGCTTAGTCTTGAAAAACAATTTTCAATGTGGAGTGATTGAGTGTTATTTGCATTTAACCGAGTTGAGGTGCTGAACTGATTGACTTCAACTATACAACTCCGCAACAGCAGATATATATATATATAAAGGAAATTAATTAAACATTGAGATTGTGCCATTCAACAGCGTCCCAAGTTATCAGTTATAAAGCAAATTGTTGAAACAAGTTTCTAAAGATCATCCAACGCGCATCACCACTAGTCAAGTGAAAATATAACAAAAAAACAAAGACTGCTGGAATTCAGGGAACATCAGACTTATATCCAGATTTTGAGTTGAATTACTATGAAAAATAACCACGACCAACATCAATGTTCTAGCACTAAACGATGACAGGTACGCATTAATAAACGCATCTAACAAACCTTGTGAAAAGGCTGGATCTGGAATTAGAACAGAGAGTTCAAATAGAAGGGGAAAAAGAAGACCAAAAAACATGTTGAGAGGAGGTGTCGTCACCAATGTGAGATATTTAGCCTTGCCTCTGATACGACTGACTTATTAGCGACTGAGATACTGAAATGTTGACCACAACCAATAGAATTTAAGCGTATCCAGCTGCTCCCAATTTGCTGACGTACAAACCAGCACTTTCCTTTGTTTTTACAACAATGGATATCTCAGTTCTATGGTTGAGTCTTTTGAGAGCGAATGGGAATACGGGTCAAAAATCAGGTTTAAAGTTGTTTTAGTTATAAAATCCTATGACCTAATTTCTGCTTTACTTTACCCGTAACTCCAATGAGGCATTATTTTCTTAATAGCCTCTGATGAACTGATTGCGCAATGAGCGTTTAATTACATCTAAGCTTGCTAGTAACATCCACTTATTTGGGCTTATAGTTAAGGGAAATCTGATTCATCTAGCAAAAATTCTCTGTTTTACAATTAAAAGAAGTTTTCAATATTCAGTTTGTAAAAGTAGGCCTCGCGTGAAATGCTCAGCTATAGCTGAGTGCCTTGACACGATATCGTAGATATCACCGAAATCACAAGGCCCAACAAATTTTCCTGTTAATCATATTGCAATCATGGAAAACATTGTATCAAACGTATGCCGTTCTAAATCGTTCACCTCTACGCACTGTCTGTCAAACATTTCTCCGTAATTCAGCTGTGAAATTTCAGCGATAAAACAAACAAAATCGTTTATTTCCTAGCTTCCTTTCTCTTAATCGCCTATTTTCCTGGAAAATTGATAATACTGCGAGTTAGATCTTTTTGAAATTCAGAAGGTTTTCGTGAAATTCTGCGCTATGACAAAAAAAAAAAAACAGAAATGCCATATGTGGGTTACGAACAAGTACTAAGTGTTGAAAACCTATACATATCCTTAAAAATCATTCAAAAACCCTTTCAAAGAGAGACTTTTGGCATAAATTTTTAATGAGTTGTGAAGATGGGTTCTTGTTTACGTGTTAAATCAATTATTTACAAAGAAAACTTACCGTGTCCGTGATTACCGGTATACAAAGTGGTTACCACCTTAAACTTTTTAACCATCTGTAACATTTCCACCACCCAAAAATTAGGATATCTAATGAGCGCGGCTGCGTTTCGTGATTCATGAGCACGAGTGATTTCTTTTGATTAAAATTTCTAGAAGAACTTGATGAGTAGAGTTGACTCAAAAAAATTTCCACGATAAACAAATCGGGTCCTAATACAAGCTTTTCGACATTCAAAACTACTTATAATATGCCATCCGGGCTGAAATAGTCCCAAAATTACCGAGAAAGCTACTTTCAAAACCAACAGAATCGGTTTTAGATTCATTCGTGGCTTGTAAATAAAAAGATCGACATCTAAAATTTGGATTAAAAATCATCTGTGGCGTTTCTGTAAGACTTGCAAGAGTAGTCTATTAGTTTTTCATTGTCCGAGTTGAATTTCCTTCAGCTCAAGAGAATATTAAGGTCCCCTCATTTTCTGTTGTCAAAATTTAATGCGGCGCTCTTAGCCAACCCTTTTGGAGTTTTACAGCGAGTTTTCGTCTGGTAGTGCAGGTTCATCAGGGTACGGTAAATACCTGGTCTTATGCTGGAAAATATAAAATCCTTAATGTGCAGTGTATAACAATGCCTTACATATCTTTCCGCATAGATTGAATTTTAGAATTCAGTTTAAAAATTTCTAACAAATTACCACAATTGATTAACACATTTACATATCTTTACAGTATCGTTCAACTATTAATAAGTAATAGGTCTTCCTCTCGTTCCAAATCATCGCTAAGCAATCACATCCGTCTTAGTTGTTTACGCTGTTCTGTTTGGTTGACTTTCCTTGGAAGGGTCTACAAAAAAAGAAACTTCTCCAGTGAACTACCCCTAAAGAATCTTTGTCAGAAAAGCACTCCTCAGCCTCTCAAGCAATTGACCAGGTGCCAACAGTGATGGCGTAAGTGTGAATAAGAACTAAAAAAGTAGCAAAGTATAGTCAAAGTACGTGCATGGTGGGTATCATTGTGGAAAATTTAAACTTACTGAATTAGGATTAACATGAAAAATTCCGGCCTTGTCTCTCTGTTTCAGTGCTTCCTAACCATCCAACGAAAGGCTTTACTTGCTCTGCTAATAGATCTTGATATTTAGCGCCAGGGATTTACGAAAGCAATTAAATTCACCGAATTGAAACACCCTCATTCGTTCTATAGTCATAGGAAAACTTTGCGATGAGTATCGTGAAATAAAAAACAGAGAAATCGCCACAGCCGATCTGAACTAGCCGGTGTCAACATCGCCAGGTAGGCAACGAGGACTCAAATTAAATTTATGTAAACGATCTCGTGATTGATTGAAAGGATAACAAGAGTTTCCCACATACTGGAGAAAAAACCTTTTGCAACCTCGGAATACTATCAACATTCAAAAGAAAGCTGCTCTCAAAAAATTTTGGTTTTCTTTACCTCACCTCTTTTCCTACTATTTCACTCTCCTGATAAAAGACTCCCTTCACCGTGCTATAAAAAGCCTTCTAATCTGATATATCGATGCAACAAACTACCTTCTCCAAATAAAAGTCAAAATGTCATCTCCAATCAGCACGGATGGAACCCACTCTTCACATTCCCATTTGGACTGCATGCCGAGGCACTGGAAACTTTTGTTAAAAAAATCACTCAAATTACTGTCTAATCGTATACCAAGAATTTCCTCACCCACTGTCGTTCTTTTGAAATGGATTTCTCCACTCAATTTTCCTCAACTCGATCAATAAACCGCGTAAAGGACCATACTTTTTTAAAAAACTTCGAGCGCTGTTTAAAAAAAGACTTCAATCCATCAGAAATATGAAGCCTTGGCAAAAATCATTTCAGACGTTGCATCAGCGCCCTGAGTCGTGTATTAACTTTACGTAATATTTGGTATGTGTGGCATACATTACCAGCAAATAGGCTGATGACGCTAATACTATTACTTAGATTTTTTCTAGAACTTCATTGGGTAAAATTCTAATGTGACATTCGTCATTCCCTCTCGTCGTAAATAAGTCGATTTCTACGTATGAAACAAACCGAACTTCCATCAGCTTATTACCATCATCGGCGATGCCATTGTCGACTTGATTTTGCAATTCAGACTCCGTCTTGTTTGTTCGGCTACCATGAGTAAGTCCCTTAGCTATATCTACAGCAATGTCCGTGTCGTCACCATTGCCGACGATACTGTCGGGCCTACTTTTTGCATCAGTGTCACTCATTTCAAAATCAACGACGTTCTGCTCTATATGCATTTTATTTGCATAATCCTCGGAAATTTCTCCTTCTCCTGGGTCATTTGCTTCGTATTCCTTATCACTACCATTGTTGTGATCCGTAACTTGTTCCAAGCTCACATAGTGCTCGCCTTGGTTCTCAGCAAAATGGCCAGGTACACGGTAACTGCTGAAACACTTAGCTACACTTGCTGACGGACCGAACACGTGCTGCCCACCAACTCCTAGAGAGGAAACTATTTGATGTCAGCGTTATACAAGTTTGCTGCTGCATACGGCGTAATCTGATTTCCATAGGTCCCATCGCACGCCATATGAATTATATATATTCGTCCCAGCAAGAGAAATCATCATCTACCAAATGCTCTAAAAGAGGGAAGCCATCGCCATAGTACGGATTGCTTTTTAAGTAATCTACTATTTTTTTCCTCATGGTTTCAGGAGATCTTAAAATGCCCAGTCTCTTTGCCTGGTGAGATAGTGCAGCAAATTGGCAATTGCCATCTCCAGGAGGATTGTAAACCAATTTAAACCGTGGTCTTCAATAGTCTTTACATAATCGTCTCTTCTCATAGGTATGTAATACGTTTTGTAGTGGTCAATGTTTTTCTTTTTAGACAGCTTGGCGCATTTTTATTTCTGTTTTTCTCGCTCTAGTGTAAATCTTGTGATATCGTCCACAAAGACCCATTTCCTTTCTTCCTTTCCTGAAATTGGTGAGGTGTATGAAACCTTATTGTTATGCAACTTAATCTTTCTTTTTTTCGATTCGATCCTCCATCAAATGCTGTATATTCGATGGCTTCCCTCTCAAACTTATATACGCTTTTCTCCGATGCTGTAAACCGATGGCGGATTTAAGCGAAGTTATGTCCACTGCATCCGCCTAACACATCTACTCTTGGCTATTTTAGCTTGCTTTTGTAATTTCAAAGCTTGCCGTGAACGCAGGTTACGGTCATTCTTAGTTAGGCAAAGCCTCCCAGCACTAGGAAGGATTTCGTCTTGCTATCTGCTCTCTCTGAAGGCGTTGCACTTTCGTGCAAAGTATATTTCGAATGTTGTTTTGTAAGCTATCACTTCCTTAGGGTCGTTATTTAGAATTCTTTGATAAAGAGGGAGCTGATTCGCCCAATGTACACCGTCTTGACCAATTTTTTGAAGGTCATATTCCATCTTTGATCTTAGTGTCCTGTGATAACGTTCTACCTTGCCTTGTGACTGGGGCCGGCGCGGGCGACTGTAAATCAACTTTTTATTCATGTTATCGCAAAGTAATTTCAAGGCTTTCTTGAATTCCCCTCCTTGGTCGCACTGGATTATTTCTGGCGATCCATGTTCCATATAAATATATTCCAGGTCACTTGCAATTAACTGACTTGATTTGCTACACACACCACATAACTTTGATGGCACTTACAGGGTTTCTTAGTCTTTATCGAAAAAACAAGCTAGACAGTACGATGAGCATGACAGTATAAGATATTACAGGCAGACAACAGAGTCGAAGTTTAGCGCTAGTGGTGATTCAAAGATGTCTACAGTAAACTGATGAAGAATCATGCATAGGTCTCTGTCTTGCCTTCGCTTTCCCTTTTCACTTTCACGTTTATACCTGTCGCTCAAACAGTTTTGGCACATGGTTCGCGAGTCTAAATCTTGCTAAAAATACGGAATGATACCGATAATTTGATAAATACATCTTGGCAATAAATGAAATACTTTGCGTCATAGGTTTGCCGATATATTACTGGTTGCTAATTGCCTTATCGATATTGTGATTATCAGTCCATTACTTGTGCATGTTCTTGTAGTGTGTAGAAATCACGCGGTCAGTTGTCAGTCCATTCATTCGAGTGTTGGGAGCTGTTAAGAGGAGTTAAATCACAACAAGACGGTCTCGATATTTCATGAATGTGAAAGTTAGATCAACTTCAAAGCTCAGATACGGACAGGTTGTGTCGCTCTGGATGTGCGACAGATCTTCATATTTTCACTAGTGGTTGGTCGTTGTTCGAGACCACATTGGTGAGACATTACCGATCGTTGATTGGGAACTATTCTACTTATTTTCCCATCTTTTTATGCGGTTAAAATAACCAAACTAACTTCTTCTTTCATTTGTATCTAAGTGAAGAGAGATTATTGACAGACATTTGAAAAAACTGTATAATTACTTTATTAACTCAAAAAATTTACAGATGAATATTTCACAAATACGGATTCAAATCGTTCGTTGAACAATTTGAAGGCTCCGTCGAAACAATTGAAAGTTACTCAGTAAGTTCATAAATATATAAATATATACGAGTGTGTGACACTTTTATGATATGCTGATAAATCTCAGCAGTCGATTACAATATATTCTTGTTGATATAAAAATTCGGTCTTCCCGAAAAATTTTGGAGCTGAAAAGCCCCAACTTTAACCATTCTATGGTGCACATGAACAGGCAGTGTTATATCTTTTTCCTTCCTCTGTGATGAAATTGGATGGAACACATTTCCTCTGGTTGTTGTTGTTTGCCATGGAACTAAAACATGCGGTTCCGGAAGATGTAATCTTCTTACAAATAGGAGAAGTTACTGTTTTGCTGCTTGGCAAAGTGAAGGAAACAACTCTGCCTGTGTAACAACTGGGCTCGTCACCAGGGGACCTCTTAGATCTCCATGTTACAGCACCTTGGGTGGACGGGACTCCACCATCTTGAATTCTGCGCATGATTTTGTCCAAATCAGTTGCCCGGCCATCTCCACGATGAAGAAAAATCGCGAGGATAACGATAAAAACCTAGAGTATAAAATTCTTTTGTCAACTTTCTTGGAAAAACTTTTTGCCTTTAAAAAAATTTCTAAATTATTGAAACAGACAGAGTAAAAAACCAAACCATGTTGCCAGGTAAAGCGATTGAAAAAATTTCATTGAGAAATAATTAAAAAGAGTCAAAAGAATTCTTACAAACTTTGTAAGAATTCTTTTGACTCTTTTTAATACATTTTACAAGAACAAAGGGCATTAATGTTTTACCTTCAAAACCTCCATTGCTCAGTTCCTTTTTATTCTTTTTGTAGTCTACGGTGAGGATGTCTTCTACACTTGCTGCTTTATTTCTTTCCTCAATTCCTTGAAGTTTTTTTGATGCCGAGAAAAGTTTCTCTCTGCTTATATACAATTTTGCGTGCTCTCAATGTGTTCCTTGAATAAAAATATCAAAACTATTTTGCTCGACGTTCCATCCTCTTTCATGTTGTTTTAGTTCTGTTTCGAAGATAATTTAGAACTTATTTTAATTGATCTAATAACCAATTTTTGAAACATCCTTTAAGTAAAATAGGCTCAGCAATAATATCGTTCTATTTGAAGACACTAGAATAAAAGTCATTTAAGACACAGTTCATACTTTTTTTTTTATTAATGTAACAATATACAAAAAAATCTGACTTTCTTGACTGAAAAGTTGAAAAACCATTTCCTTAACATGTAAATGTGAATAAATCACACTTGTTACCACCAAGAAGGAAAAGTTTGTCTTTTACCTATAATTTAGTGAAGTTTCCTGTAAATTAGTGAGAATCGAATTTCTTCCAACCCGTCATATTGTTATCTAATGATAACAAGCTCATGATTTAATGTTTGGACGAAATTGGAGGTGATGGTACTTTTAATTCTTACGAGGATACAATTGCACAACAGCACGAAAACGGGCAAATGCATCATGAGTCCTTGATTAAGATTTGATCAGTGTTAAAAGTCAGAATCATTATACAATATAGTATTACTTTTAGTATCATAGTCTCTGATTGATCGATAAAAGACCAACTGCCGGGAAATCATGAGCTGAATTCTAAAAAAACGATGCAAGATATTTTAACGAAAATTTCTACCAGGTATTTAGAGAAGTTGATGTCCAGTGTTTAATACGTCATGAATAAAACTTTTGGAAAGTGCAACATCTTAAAACTGCAGACATCGATAGCTTTGGCAAAGAAAGAACTTCCTAAAAGCGTTGAATGTCAGACAGGATGAAAAGTTGTGACTCGATTGTGATACGAAACAAATGATCTTTCCTTTTAGCATCCATGACAGGATCCAGTTGAAAGTCGTGTTTCCTTTTTATCATCATTTAAACTGGTTTTTCCAATTACACCAGAAACTGTACATTAATCTTACATCTATTCTTCCGCTGATATTGATGCGTGTTGTGATAATATGTTCTAGTAACATGAATAAATAATTTGGTGAAGATTCGAAACGGTATCAAATAGTCTATTTTTGTTAAACAGAGACAGGAGCCCATTATCAAGTAATGGGCTCCTGATAGAGAGTGAAAATTGGTGACAAAATTTCAAAAGTATCTCGATTAAAAGTTTGTTCCGAGCGCTGTAGGTGTATAAGGATCTTTAACCCATAACTCCCAAGATCTGACTGTTAATTCTCCCCTCTTACAGTTACAGATTTTCTTGTATATAAGTTACAAGAATTTGGTGTTGGATCTCGGTAACAACTTTTACCTCGGATAAGTTTTGAGTATTCTCATACTGTTTACTGGTATGAAGATATGAAGCAGGCAGAAAACAAGCTCTCCATTCAGTGCACAAACCTTTCATCTTGAGGGTGCTTCTTTGATGCAGCACCAAAATCTCGTAACTAACTAAGTAGGAAAAGTGAAGCAGCTGGTAGTGCCCTCTCAATTGACTAGTGTGCAACCACGCATCTATACGATCATGCCTCAGTCCTAATTTATTTTAACAAACAAACTTTGTTTTGACTAAGTCTTCCTTATGTCACAATTTTGGTATTGAGGAGAGCTGTTCATTAACCCCTCTACATTTTAAGCAACATTGCCTTTTTACTTCAATAGTTTCCAAAAATACATCAGTTGGCACATGCAGTGTTCAACTGCCTTATTTATTTTATAGGTTATAAGCGGGGTTTCCGATAGTGTCGCATCTTATAGGCCCATTTCCAGCCTTGATGTAACGCGGTCATTTGTCATGTTTTTGTCTTACCTGTCATGCAAGACACACTGATATAAACCCTTGAGTATAGGAACCCCGGAATGTAAGACCCTGATTATAAGACCCCTGATGGAGTAGGGGGTAGGCACTTATTCGGGGAAGGGCGCTTATTAGAGCATGGACGCTTAGTCGAGGAAATACGGTATTCATCATTTGTAACCTTTTTCCAGAGCAGACATCATCTTATTTAAAGTATCTGATGAACTCTCGCTAGTTTGACACAATGAACATTCAATTCCAAGATTACTCCACGATATTCTAACTCTTTTAATTGAAAAAATTGTACTTAATTGTGAAATTGAATCAGAAATCTTAATTCTAGTTGCATTGTCTTACTGTAGCGTTTCCAATATAGTGTGTCAGCGCCCTCTTTTTTATTAATTCTTATTCAAATATTCTTTTGCCCATCACTTATTTTATTACTAATTATCATATGCACCTTTTTGAGCTGTTGTGGAGAGAAAGCATTAAATTGAGGCTCTTGTGTTGGAAAGCATTAAATTGAGGCTCTTGTGTTGGACGACCACACTTTTTTTTTGTACAGACTTGGTGTTAGGTACAGTAAAAGTCTTTACAACTGATTGTATATTTGCATTAAGGGACTGGTTCGCAAATCTTAATATTATTAGCAACAATGATTAGTACTCATTAAGCAACAGACCACACTTTCTATCAGTTTACTTGCAGTATTAGAGGGGAAAGAAATTCGAGACTTTGACAACTGACCGCTCAATACAGGGTGATCTCAGTTATCTTAAATGAATAAACAGATGAGTTAGGTTGTCAAAAAAATATTCTCTTCGGAAAAACCAATATGATTTTGACTTATTTTTCACACATTTGCAGTATCCAACATGAATACTTAGAATTTACTTATTTTTCTCCGAACAATTTTTAGATTTTTGAACAATTTTTTCTTTTTTATTCATTTCTGGTTTTTTCCTTTGACAAAACCTTTTCAATTGAGAGTATATATTCTTGTCTATAAGTATGTATATATCAAGGATGCTTGTAAATCTATGTAAAGCTACAACTAATTTTGAGCTCAAAAATATTAATAATAATAAAAAAAGCGTCAAAAAGTAACGGCTGGAGTTGGCATCAAGGGTTGCCTCAACTTGAAGGAATAATGCCATTTTTTGTTAATTTTACAATGCTTACAAGTTTTGCCGACGCCAAAATATCAAAACAATCCACTGGATTTTGTTGGGTGACATGAGGTGGTTTTTGACATGGTCAGCAAAGACCTATTGGTGGTAATTTTAGCGAGTGCTTGAAAAAGTCTAGTGTTGTTATCCTGGCTTTGCTACTTTTTTAAGATTTAAACATCACAATAGTTTTAGCAACCGGTCGACTGAATTTCTGTAAAACATTGGGCTCAAATGGTTGTACAAAAGGAACCCATGCGGGTGAAGTCCTTATTCAGGTTTTTTCTCGACTTCGCACTCTCCGGATATCGGAAGAAAATGAATTTACAAGCCGAACTAGAAAGCAAGCAATCTATAGTCTGCTTAGCAAGTTCTCCCTTTAGCGTTTGAGGGGAGAAGTGGGAGGGGATGGATAGATGGAAAAGGGCTCTTTTAAGTGCCCCACCTCCCTTTCCCCATTCTTAGTGAGTTTTCTAACGTAATACATGGACTGAAAGAGTTTACTGCACCAAAATATATCCCATAGCTTTGATGCATCTGTCATCATTATCTGGGGAATGAGCTGCTACATTTCCACACGTAGTGGAATTATCAGGAGATTTCGGTACCAAACCCAATTCTGGAGTCACAAGAGTCACAATGGTTATTGTCGTTAGCTACATAACCAATTCTTGCTTTAGAATGACGACTTGAAGAACATACAGCATTGAAGCCCTCCTTGCTACAGTTCAGTTGTAAAGAGCCCTGCGCACCAATCAACTTCTTCCACTCGTTACGACCCAGTGAAGTAGCGCGGTATGTCCCATCAGCGATCAGCGAGTGCAGAGAGTTCGCCTGCTTGTTAATGACAATAAACCTGAGCTGTCCACTTATCTCCATACCGAGACAGATCTTGGAGAGAGGTGTGTTCCAATAGGTTGGTAACTTGGTCTCTTGTGAGTCAAACCCAGTCCTCCCGCCGGGGGTGTTGTATTCGTTTTTATCACTCCAGTAGTGAGAGTCATAGTGAAAAGTTGCCTAAAGAAAATTAAGAAGATTTAATTTATTCTTAAATGTAAATAATCCGATGCGTCACCAAAGGCAGGACCCTCATGAACTCAGTAATACAGTTGGCGTACAAGCCATCAATCTATACCCTACTTGCGGGCGGGTTAATTAGCAATTTGTTGCCTTTTGAGGTATAAGGTTATTGTAGCACTTATGCCTAAAGAATTTCCTCAAGCAGGAGCCGCGAGAAGAATATGGGCGAGTTATTAAGAGATTCTATCGTAGTTTCGACACTTCTGAAAATTTATTGCATGCACTTCATCACCCGCAAGAAAACCTCGCCAAGAATATTCCGCCATAGAAGGCTTACCTGGCGGCCGTTAATCTTCATTACAGGTGTCCATCCTCCATCTCCGCATCCAAAATCCCCCATCTGACAGAGAACTGTGATTGGTTTAGAGTCAAGGTATAATGTGACCATTTGACTGGCGTTTGACCTGTTTGATACGAAAAAAAAAACCCATTCGTGATCATATTAGTTTGCGGCGAAAAATCTTCTCTCGGTGTCGAAACTATTCCATAGTTTTGTCTCTTTTTATGCTCGAAAAGATAATCATTTGGTATCACTTACTTAAAGAGGTTGTAAGCTTCTTTGCAGGAACCAGTAACTAAATGGACGAAAAAAACAAAAGTAAGGTGTTTATCCTCTAAAATCCTCCACCCCCCTCCCTTCCCCCGTAGTTAATGATAATTGGTCCCTGAGGGAAGTAAGTAAAAATAAAAATATATATTCAGTTCCTCAACTCAGACCTTAGCGTTTCGCAGTCAGATGCTTAATCAACTTAAGTATCGAGAGATTCAACATATTTGCGCATTGCATTAAATGTTTCTTTAGTTATATATTTCCAATGGGACCTCTGGTTCTTTAGATATTCTTTTTAGCAGATGGGTACTTTTTTTCACCGTCGGGAGCCTGAAAACTGGTTGCCATGATTACAAAATGTCAATCACCAGTGCAGTTCCTGACACTTCTGAATGATATTTCCAATGGTATCGTAATGAATTGGATCCAGTTAATATTGAAAATTTTCAAAATGTGAGTGGAAGACCACCTTAATCAACTTAAGCATCGAGAGATTCAAAATTTTTATGCATTGCATTAAATATTTGTTAGTTATATATTTTCGCCAGCTATTTTAGAACATTTTCGAGATCCAAGGTTAAGTAGAAAAATTCATAGCAGTTACTTGAGAATTATGGTATTTAATGCTATTGGATGTATATCAGTCACAAAAGCATGCCAAACTATTCACCTTTTTCACAATATTCTCCTTTGAAGCCTTTTTCACAGCGGCATCCGAATGAGCCATCTCTATAGTTAGTGACACAGGTAGCCTTGTGTTGACAAGGTGACGAAGAGCAAGGTGACTGTAGAGAAGCAAAGTAGGAAAATGGTTGATGCGCTATTCCGTCAATCCGGTTCGGATTCGTTTTAGTGGAAATTTTTCATGGTATGGACAACCTCATATGATAGTATTATCAGGTTTTTTTTTAATTATTATTTTCATCTACAGTATAGAGATTTTGGCCGGGTTTTCTGCCTTTGCTGGTATTTGAGAAAGTGGCTTTATGAGGTTAAAAATATATTGCTAAGCCGTTGGGATCTATGAGTCTGGAAAGCTTTTCTGACTGTTTCGAACGTACGCAGAAAATGAAGAAGTCTGTTGATAAAACATTTTAAAACACAAATTGAAAAAAAGGCTGACCAAATACTGACGATGTAAACAACGATTCCATTCTTTAAATAAAAATAATCTGGTATCTTGACTAAAATTTTCAACCGAGTCACATGTATTTCCTTAGTATGCTGACGCGCCTAGGAAACAAATGTGGTAAGTAAGATAGTGCGGCGCGCGAGAAAGTGTATGCATGCTTTGCAACATGCCATAGAAATACGGTTGTCACCACAATGAACACGACAACAGACCGACACCACTTGCAGTAACTTTAACCTGACTGCCTTCTCTCTGCCTTCTTTCTCTTGGCAAAGTTGTCAAACTTTTAACATGTTTATTAGTCAAAATTAAGAAATGCTTCCTACCTCAATGGCAAAATGATGCGAACTTTTATTCCCTTTATACTCTGTGGAGTTTCTGAATTTATCAGATGACAACAATTCGCACCAAAGTTTTCCATGGGTTCCTTTGAAGGCGGCCAGGTTTACAGAAAAACACAACGGATTGCTAAGACATTCTAACGTGCAGTCAAACACATCAGACACTGCCACTGTTCCAATAAGCGGCACATTCAAGTGATGAAACTCGTGTTTAATGAATGTACGTGTCAGAAAGGTTCTTGTGGAGGAGGCGCGGTTGCCCTCGCGATACACAGGGTTTGACTCTGTAACGGGAAAGAAGAACAGTTCAGTAATAAGAGGACATGATGGCAGCACTCAGAGGAAGGAGTGGCGGGGAAGGAACTGACTGGTTACAAGAGATGATGAAGTGGCCTATAACAGTCCCCCCCCATACCATTCGAGACAATTGATGTTTTTCATATCTACGTTACTCTTATGAACCTTCATTTGGCGAAATCCGCTGTTTGAGGGGATGAAAAACCATTTTTCTATGGTTAGTAGTAAATCAGCTTCACTAAATTGCCACGTTTGAGACACCCTAAAAAAACAATATTGAAAAAATTTTTTCAAGAATGGTTTCAAGGCCGATCAGTACCAGCCTCCCTTCTTCTCATTCACCCCCCTCTCCCTTCCCTCCCAACTCCCTTCAAGACTTCCGGGTGACCCCTGCCTCTCTACAACTTAAACAAAATTTGTACTCGTGCCGTATTAGGACGTTGTAGAATACAGCGAAGAGGTAGCTGAGAATGATGGAAAGAATTGAGGTATTTTTAAAATCCAGGGATCTTTTGAAGTATCAAGAGCATATTTTAAGCTGATCCGTGTGTTTTTCTCTCTCTTTCTTTTCGGGACAATGCTCAATTGTATGTCAAGAAAAATTTGATCCCTATTTTCCTTTCAAAATGAACGTTAGTAGTATTTTTGAGCGAGGTTTTGTGAAAAAAGTGGTCAATTATGGCATAAATGGCGCTTTTTTATCATTGTTTAAATTACCCCTTTTCTTTGGAATCCATTTTAAGCGGTCATCCCTGAAAGGTTGAAGAAATCTTGCGACACTGTTATTATCGCACCTGTCTTAATTTTAGAATTCATAACTTTTGCCAATTGGAAGCAAAACAGATGTTATTTTGTCAATAGCTTGTAGCTGTCTAAACATGTTGAGCCCCTTGACTTCCGTCAAATTTAATTAACAATTTTCCTCCACTGTTGTCGCCACTCAACCCGCGAGGTCCTCGGTCAAGTTGGGTAAAATCAGGCGACATTTCGCAAGATAAAGAAGAGTAACATATGAAAAACTTAGTTTGGTGAAAAAAGAAAATCGCTTCGTTGAACACTTAAAATGATCATATCGTAGATAGATTTTTCGCAGCCATTTCAACAAGTCACTTCGATTTTAATTCATTCGAAAGTTTTTCAGGAACCTCTTAGACATAAATTTGTATTGTCTTACCTTATCAATATCTGACACGCCATTCACCTTAAATACACGCGTATTCTGAGTGACTAAAATACCATTATTCACTGAGGTAACATTTCAAACAAAATTTTGCAAATAAAGCTCTGGTTGTTTCCGTTTCTCATGATTAATCACCTGACTATAACATATTTCTTTCAAACTTTCCATCGGAAAAGGGAAGAACATCAATCAATGACCTTATAGGCAAAGGAATCAATGTTTCCGCGAACCCAATTTTAGAAGTCTTTGATAAATTTTTTAAATAAAAGCATGGCGAGGTCGAAAGCCTGTGGTTTACCTCCGCAATTTTATCCAGGTTTTAAAGATGTGTAGCTGTTGTTTTGGAAACATTTAGAATTTAACTTGAAGTTGAATAACGGCTTTTTCAATCAATGTTTTAGCTTAGTCTTGAAAAACAATTTTCAATGTGGAGTGATGGAGTGTTATTTGCATTTAACCGAGGTGCTGAACAAATTGACTTCAACTATACAACTTCACAACAGCAGATATATATAAGGGAAGTTAATTAAACAATGAGATTGTGCCATTCAACAGCGTCCCAAGTTATCAGTTATAAAGCAAGTTGTTGAAAGAAGTTTCTAAAGATCATTCAACGCGCATCACCATTAGTCAAGTGAAAATGTGACAAAAAACAAAGACTGCTGGAATTCAGGGATCATCGGACTTTTATCCAGATTCTGTATTAAATTATTATGAATTACTGTGAAATAATAAATATTACCAACATCAATGTTCTCACACTGAAAACAATAAGAGATACGCATTAATAAACGCATCTTACAAACCTTGTGAAAAGGCTGGATCTGGAATTAGAACAGAGAGTTCAAATAGAAGGGGATAAAGGAGACCAAAAAACATGTTGAGAGGAGGTGTCGTCGCTCATGTGAGATATTTAGCCTTGCCTCTGATGCGACTGACTTGTGAGCGACTGAAATACTGAAATGTTGACTACCACCAATAGAATATAAGCGTATCCAGCTGCTCCCAATTTGCTGACTTTTAAAATAGCACTTCCCTTTGTTTCTGCAACAGTGGATGTCTCAGTGCTATGATTGAGTTTTATGAGAGCGGAAGGGAATACGAGTCAAAAATCAGGTTAAGAGTTGTTTTAGTTATAAAATCCTGTGATCTAATTTCCTCTTTACTTTACCCGTAACTCCAATGGGGCATCATTTTCTGACTAGTTTCTGATGAACTGATTGCGCAATGAGCATTTAATTACATCTAAGCTTGCCAGTAACACCCAGTAGTTTGGGTTTATAACTAAGGCAACCTGATTCATCCAGAAAAAATTCTCTGTTTTACAATCACAAGAAATTTTCAATATTCACTTTGTAAAAGTAGGCCTCACGTGAAATGCCTTGAAACGATATCGTAGATATCACCGAAATCACAAGGCCTAAAAAGTTTTCATGTTACTCGTATTGCAATCGTGGAAACCATTGTATCAAACGTACGCCGTTCTAAATCGTTCACCTCTGCGCGCTGTCTGTCAAACATTTCTCCGTAATTCAGCTGTGAAATTCTAACGTTAAAAAAAAAAACAAAATCATTTATTTCCTAGCTTCCTTTCTCTTAATCGCCTATTTTCCTGGAAAATTGATAATACTGCGAGTTAGATCTTTTTCGTCGCCATTAGGAGTGCGCGAAAAGAGTTATTATTGATAAAGGAAATGTAACTTGATAAGTTTTCTTGTTGACAAGTTTGCGACTGCAGCGTCAAATGGAAAAATAATTTCCAGTATATCAATGCCAATTTTGGAGTGTAAGGGAAGTTGCTATTTGAGGAAAAACTTGCCAACGAAAAATCTATTGACAGTACAAATGACTTGCAAGAAGGAGGTTTAAGAAGGTTTCGTGAAATTCTGCGCTATGACAACAGCAACAGAAATGCCATATATGGGTTATGAACGAGAAAAAGGTGTTTAAACCTATAAATATCATTCAGAATCATTCAAAAACCCTTTCAAAGAGAGTCTTTTGGTATAAATTTTTAATGAGTTGTGAAGATGGGTTCCTATTTACGTGTTAACTCAATTATTTACAAAGAGAACTTCGAAATAAACTTGACGTGTCCATGATTACCGGTATACAATGTGGTTACCACCTTAAATTTTTTAACCATCTGTAGCATTTCCACAACCCAAAAATTAGGATATCTAATGAGCGCGGCTGCTTTTCATGATTCACGAGCACGAATGATTTGTTTTGATTAAAATTTCTAGAATAACTTGATGAGTAGAGTTGACTCAAAAAAAATTTCCATGATGAGCAAATTGAGTCATAATACAAGCTTTTCGACATACAAAACTACTCATAATTTGCCATCCGGGCTGAAATAGTCCCAAAATTACCGAGAAAGCTTCTTTTGAAACCAGCATAATCGGTTTTAGATTCATTCGTGGCTTGTAAATAAAAAGATCGACATCTAAAATTTGGATTAAAAATCATCTGTGGCGTTTCTGTAAGACTTGCAAGAGTAGTCTATTAGTTTATCATTCTTCGAGTTGAATTTCCCTCAGCTCAGGATCAAGAGAACGTAAGGGTTCCCATATTTTCTGTTGTCAAAATTTAATGCGGCGCTCTTAGCCAACCCTTGTGGAGTTTTACAGCCAGTTTTCGTCTGGTAGTGCGGGTTCATTAGGGTACGGTAAATAGCTGGTCTTATGCTGGAAAATGTAAAGTCCTTAATGTGCAGTGAGTTACAATGCCTTGCATATGTTGCTGAGTACCGTAAAAACTCGTGTATAAGCCGCACCCCCAACTTTCAAGCATGATTTTGAAAAAAAAGAAAAAAACCAAAAATGCGCTTTTGTAAACCATCGATCGGGGAAAAGCTTGTTGCTAAACGAGAGTTTAACAACCCAATGGACAAACACGCCGTGAAGGACGACGAAACAGTCGGCCATTTGCCTCGTGAATTCTCTCGAATAGCGTGGTATTTTCTTGCACGTAGTGGGGAAATCAGCGTTGAAGTGATCGGTGCTCAAACAAAACGCAGATGAAACGCTTAAAAGAACTACTGGCGAGCAAGATTCAGGTATAGAACCTGAAGATGCAAACAAACGGCTCCTTTAGGAGCCACCACTTCTACTGAAAGCAATGATCAACGACAGGTTTCAATATGTTTAATCTTTATTTACTGAAGGTTTTCAGTTCAATTTGTGACCCCTACAAGCCAGTTTACTCCCTTTGAGAGCAATGGTCTCGTGTATAAGCCTCACCCGCGATTTTTGACTCAAAATTTCGGCAAAAAGGTGTGGCTTATACACGAGTTTTTACGGTAGATTGAATTTTAGAATTCAGTTTAAAAATTTCTAATAAATTACCACGATTGATTAACACATTTACATATCTTTACAGTAGCGTTTAACTATTAATAAGTAATAAGTCTTCCTCTCGTTCCAAATCATCGCTGAGCAAGCACATCCGTCTTGGTTGTTTACGCTGTTCCGTTTGGTTGACTTTCCTAGGAAGGGTCTACTAAAAAGAAGAAACTTCTTCAGTGAATTACCCATAAAAAATCTTTCACTGTGCTACAAAAAGCCTTCTTATCTGATATATTGATTCAACAAATTACTTTCTCCAAATAAAACTTACCCTCACTACCAAAGTCAAACGTGATGTCATCTCCAATCAGCATGAATGGAACCCACTCAGAGACTTTAGTGTAGCCGTTGTTTCTCATCCACTTCATAGCCTGGTGATGAGATTCACCGGCGCTTTCTCCAGCAACAAGATGTTCGTAGAAACGACTCATGAGCTGTTCTGTTGCTGTGTCTGATATGGCCCATAATGCTACCAACACCGACCAGGACCGGATCTTAGGAAGTCTCGAGCGATTCCAATCATTCCTTCAGCTCTAATCTCTCCACTTCCACTGTGACAATCACTGAATACAACTAGTTTAGCTCTTACTTGAACTTGTGATATCTCAGCCATCGTCGACAGACAATCTTCTTCTTGTGGGCTGATATCAGGGCTGTCAGAATTACGGATAGGGGATAAGGCGATTTCTCCTCTTTCGGCATCACCATGTGCAGCAAAGTGTATCAGTCTCACCGATGTTATCTTCTCAAAAACTGCCTGGTTGGTCGCTTACTCTCCTAACAAAGGTTTTAATTACGCCCAACAGTCGTCCAACCATCTTTGCTTCTTTTCTTGGACAAGGTAATGAGGTGATGTACTGAAAATCTTCCTTGAACATGACCCAATCAACTTTAGGATCACCCACGATCAGCGCATCAGTCCGACTGTGATAATCCATTGGACTATCTTGAATGAGCTTGAGCGTTATCAATGAGGGAACTATACGGATCCGACGAGTCTCCGATAAGAATTGCCCCTCCTTTTCGCTCAGGGCAGCAAATGGAACTTTTTATAAGCTACTATGAGGTACAATGATGACTTCTGGTTCCACAAGGAAATCAGCAACGGGGAAGATCAGGAGTTTGGAACTCAAAGAAAGACTTGATTGGAAATCGAAAATAACTTCTTCATCACCTTCCTTGAGAAGTCACAGATCTGTGAGGCTTTCTAGCTCATCTGGACTGTGTTGTGACTTAATGACAAGAGGCAAAGAGCGATCTTCACATTCCCATTTGGATTGCATGCCGAGGCACCGGAAACTTTTGATAAAAAATAACTCAAATTACTGTCTAATCGCGTGCCAAGAATTTCCTCACCCACTGTCGTTCTTTTGAAATGGATTTCTCCACTCGTTTTAAGGATCCAAATTAGAAGGTTATCACAAGCAAATGAAATGTATAAAAATGAACGGCAGTTTCTTTTCTAACAATAATTTCAATCCCAATCCATGATTTCGGATTGGCTGAAATGTTTGTTTGAACAGAATATGTAGCAGTCTGAAGGTCTGTCAGGCCTCTTGCTCGTCCCAGCTAGTTTGTCATCAATTGTAGTCAATTTTTTTTCCAAAAAAATCCTAATGACTACGTACCAATCGAGTCCATCCACTTGAGCTTCCAGCCAAGGATTAGCCCACTTTGGACTGGAGATGATTTTCTTCAACTGGATCAATAAACCGCGTAAAGGACCATACTTTTAAAAGGCTTCGAGCGGTGATTAAACGATACTTCAATCCACCAGAAGTATGAAGCCTTGGCAGAAATCGTTTCAGACATTACACCAGCGCCCTGAATCGTGTATTAACTTTACGTGATGTTTGGTATGTGTGGCATGCATTTCCAGCAAACAGGAAGGTTGATAACGCTTACAATATTTCTTAGATTTTTTCTAGAACTTCATTGGGAAGAATTCTAATGTGACATTTGTCATTCCCTCTTGTTGCAAATAAGTCGATTTCTACATCTGAAACAAACTGAACTTCCATCACCTTATTACCATCATTGGTGATACCATTGTCGACTTGATTTTGCAATTCAGAATCTGTCTCGTTTGGTCGGCTCCCATGCGTAAGTCCCTTAGCCATATCTGCAACAATGTCCGTGTCGTCACCATGCCGACGATACTGTCAGGCCCACTTTTTGCGTCAGTGTCACCCATTTCAAAATCAACGACGTCCTGCTCTATACGCATTTTATTTGCATAATCCTCGGAAATTTCTCCTCCACTTGGGTCATTTGCTTCGTATTCTTTTTCAATACCGTTGTTGTGATCCGTAACTTGTTCCAAGCTCACATAGTGCTCTCCTTGGTTCTCAGCAAAATGGCCAAGGTACACAGTAGCTGCTGAAACACTTGCTGTCGAACCGAACTCATGCTGCCCACCAACTCCTGGAGAGGAACCTATTTGGATGTCGACGTTATACAAGTTTGCTGCTGCATACAGCGAAGTCTGATTCCCATAGGTCCCATCGTACGCCATATGAGTTATATATA